CTACATTCAAAGATTCAATAAAGCTCAACTAAGAGGTATTCCAATCAATATCCTTCTTCCTCCCTTACTTCCCTATTTTTAATAAATGCACTTCTGAATAAAAATAATCATGTAGACATTGTAGGATAAATCGTGTAATTTAAATTCCAAGTATGTAAATATCTATATGTAAAGGGGAATTAATACTTAAAATATTATTTATTATTATGCTAACTTCGTCATAGGGTACCAATTTAAGGCGTTGTGGGGGTGCTTAATACCTTCTCAACACGTAACCAACCCCCGAACCCAATTCTGGTTTTGAAGACCTTTGTTGGAATTTTAAAGATCTTTTCTTTTTCTAATGTTTTGAGTAAAATATTGGTGGAAACTCCATGAACCTATTTCCTAAACCATCAATTAAGGATTAGTGTGTGGTCTCTGAGCATTTCTTAATTATTGATATTTTTCAAAATGGTAGTCTAAACCATTGGTCTTATGTTCGGAATTTTTCGGGTTATGACAAACATCAAATGGCATTGAAAGGTTCTCTTTGTTAGATATTAACTTTATGGTTGACTTTTTTACTTTTTTGTTGACTTTTATCACTTTGTTTTGCTAAGCATTGTTAGTCTTGTTTCTATTTTAAATTGTGATTTTATACTTGTTACTATTGTTAGATACTTATGGATTATATTTTGACTGACTTGACCTCCTTAGTCCAACAATTAGCCATTAGTGGTAATATTGTTAGAACTTATTATGATCCTCCATAACAATATTATGATCCTCCACAAAAATATTATCATTATTCATACTCCAAGAGGTATAGTTCTGAGTGGATAGGCCATGAATGACGTCCTATTGATGATTATGTTCAACCACAACCTGAATAGAGTGGTGGAATTGCATTAGAGGGAATGATGAAACAGATGGATGAATGTAATAAGAAGTTTCAACAATAGTGGAATGTTGCATCTCAAGATTTGGAAATACAATTTGATCAAATGACTACTATTGTCAACCAACTACAATTACCACGTTCATCTATGCCTACCTTGAGGAGTGACATTCTTGATCTTGATTGTACTAGTATTGATTCATCTGGTATTAATTCCTCTATGTGTGAGACTGCTAACTTTATACTTGACTATGAATTTGACATTTTTGACATTGTAGTTGAGGTTACCATTGTTAACTCTGATTATACTTGTGAGGATTATATTATGTGTACTATATGTGCAAAGATTAGTATTATTATTGTAGGTACAATAGATGTTGTAGTATTGTAGACACCCAATTTCGTCCGGGGGCACACAAACAAGGACATGGATCTCTGTCATGAAGGGAAGGAGCTTCCGAAGAGTGCAAGCGACAAGATAGACGTTAGGGGACCCAGAAGCCCAAATCAGACATTTTCAGTGTCCCGGAACGGGCCATTCCAAGGATCTTAAAAAGCCTGTACTTTGTAAACTGGACCGGGCCGTTCTCGAATTGGAACGGGCCATTCCAAGGATCTTAAAAAGCCTGTACTTTGTAAACTGGAACGGGCCGTTCCAACTAGACTCATCATTCTACAAAATCCTTATAGACACTGAAGAAAGTACAAAGAGGAAAGAGAGAGTTTCCACTTGGACTAGGTCAACTCAACAATGTGTATGGGAATGCATGCGTCAGGCACACATTTATAGGCACCTGGTGATGGAAGAGCATGGGCCAAAGGCCCAACCACTAGAGCTATGGCCAGGAGATTACTTGAAGACTTGTCTACTTTAGAGCTTAGTGGGTCCAATGGGCTTGGTGGGCCTAGGGTGCTTCTCACATGGACCTTACTTGAATAAACACCATTTTTTCTTGCATTACTTAGCATAGGAAGTTACTTTGATTTTTGGTCTTGTATTTTGACCATAGATTAGGGTTTTACTTTTGGGCTTGTATTTGGGCTTTTTAGGCTTTGGGCTTTTGATACCCAATATTAGGCTCATTCTTCTTCTTGTAATTTTTCCTATTCATTGTATTTTCTTGACCATTGTATTTAGGTCATTAGATTAGGATTAAAGGAGGATTACTAGTTTAGTTAAATTAGGATAAACTAGGTTTAATTTAGGATGCATTTAAGTTGCATTTTGGGTCACACATTTGGCACCACCTTGGCTGCACTTGTGTGACACCGAAATGAAACCCTAAATGCATACTAAATCCAACCTAAATGTATTAGCACTCATGTGACCGGATTAGGATATGTGAGACAAGTTTTGAAATTCAAATTTTTGAATTTTGAATTTCAAAACTTGGTGCCACATGTGCTCCTTCACATTGGCGCCAATACCTTTAGTTCCGGATTGCTATATTAGTTCTCTCCTTATCATTTTGTAAAACACTTTGAACATTATTGAAATTTGAGAGCCAAGTGCCGAGTTTCCTTCAAAGTCCTCTTGAGAGAAAGTGAGCTTCACCTTAGGATTCCGTTTAGGTTTCCCTTCTCTTTGAAGTGAGCATTCTCTTGCATCTTAAGCTTGGATGCTTCCATCCAAGGCTTAAGCCTCCTCTACATCCGTGATTCATCCATTCTTGTTGCTTCGTTCCATTTGGTTACATCTCCTTTGAAGAAGATCCGTGGCTAGGAGAAGTTAAGGAGAACAACATCAATCTCTCATCCTTATCTTTTCTATCACCTGGAGGCGTGGACCAATCGTTTTGAGATTTTGGAATAGGCCATTTTAGTAGGCTGGAACGGCCTATTCTAGATTGGGAACAAGCCATTCTCAACTAAGGTTTTAGGCCATTTTAGTGGGTTGGAATGACCTGTTCTAGATTGGGAACAGGTCATTTCTAACTAGGGTTTTAAGTCATTTTAGCAGGCCAGAACGACCCGTTCCATGCTTAAAACCCTACCTTCAAGTTTCTAGGCCTTTAGTTGTTGTTCTGGTTCATTTCGGTGCTCTATTGGGCCCTCAAGGGCCATCCGTATCATTCTAGCAGTCCTTTGTCCTTAGTCTTGACTGTTCAAACGAAATATGGTGTCTATAAGGACTTTATGTTTTTCAGTTAAAATTGATAGAGGCTATTATATTTGTTTATGAATGTTCAGGTATTGTTTAATGACAACCCTAGTGTAATTGAATCATTTATGTTTTCCCTTGCGTAGTAAATGTACTATACTAAGTGTAGTGACCTATCAGGTTATTATATTTTCTCAATGTACCATCTCACATCCAATACTATTAGGATTGATACGTGGATCAATAATAGGTGACCATTTTAGAGTATATTTAGATAACTATAATTTCATCTTAGAAAGTGAATTTTGATCTAACTCAACCCTTCAAACAAGTTTGTAAAGTGATGATCGTTCTCCATTATATGATCATACCACTAGTTGGCATGAGATCTTCAACAATTATATTCGTAATTTTCATTTTATTTCTCTTTTTAAAAAAAATCTCCTCATAGAATAATTGTCCACTAACCATTTCATCATCAATTTGTCACAGTGGATAAAAAAAATAGTATATGTGATTGTCTACTCTCAAACCTTAATATTTATTTTTCTTTTATAACCATTTTTTTCTTCTAAAACTCCTAAAAAGTAAATATGCAGAGGTTTGAAGTGTTTCTTTAAATATTAAAACAAACAATTTAAAAATACAAGAAAACAAATAAAAGGTTTAGAAATTTTCTAAATTTGCACTCAATAAAAATTTTTCCTACAAACACTCATTAAAAATATCTATAAAAAAAATTCTAATTTAATATAATATTTTAATTTATATAAAAATAACTGTAATAAATGATTTAATTAAAGTATTTTAGTCTTTTTACATTTATAAAAACTTTCCTTTCAACTCCATAAGTTAATTTCTTACCATCCCCAAGAATAAATTTATAAGAAACATGAGTCAAAATAATAAATTTATTACATTCCTGAAAAAGGATATTTTCTTTAAGACAGTTTTTTTAATTATATAGCAAACGTAAAATATAATATTTTTAATATCAAATTCGTGAAAAATTAAAAACCTTCTTTGTAATAATAATAGTATAATTTTTTTTAATTATACAGCAAACGTAAAAAATAAAATTTTGAACATTAACTTCTTGAAAAACATCATTAAAAGAAATCATGAAAAACCAAAAATCTTCTTTGTACCTAGGGATGGCAATGGGGCCCCATGGGGGAGGGTAATAGTAAACCCGCCCCCATCCCACTAGATAAAAATTGACCCCATACTTACCCCATATCCGCGCGGGTATCCATTAAGCGAGTATCCATGAATTTCTTGAATACACGCGGATATCCATGGATATTTATAAATTTTTTAAGAAATTAAAAAAATTATATTACAAATAATTTTAAGTTTATATTTATTGTCATTGAAATATTAAAAATAAAAAATTTAATGTTAATTTTGAACTTGTATTTAACGTTAATTTTGTTAAAATAATAATAAAAATGCAAGATAATTAATAACTTAAAATACATCAATCTCACAAGTAAGTTAAAGTCTCATCACAAAGTTACAATAATACAATCTCATAATTTCAAACGAAAGTAAATAACTTAAAATATATAAATTTTATTGATCCAATCAAAGATAGAAAATTAATCAAATTACATCCAACATAATTCTATAACATAATTAACACATGTTGGTAACTTCATCAACCTCACTTTTATAAGAAAAAAAGATGAGAGAGTGTAGTTTTAGGATTATGTGGTACAAAGATAATTAGGATATTTAAGAAATATTATTAAACGGGTACCCGCGGGTATGGATATCATCATACCCACCCCGCCCCATTTATAAACGGGTAAAAAATTATCCGTCCCCATTATCCGCGGGTATCCAATTAACCTATCCATTTATTATCCTTAACAAATTTTACCCGCAGATACCCGCGGGTGCGGGTATTTTTGTCATCCCTATTTGTATACCAACACCCCCTAAAAGGCAACTGGCCCTAAAAGGCAACTTCTCAATGCATACTCCATTCCTTATCAAAATTTGATATGCCAAATGTCAAACTCAGGATACCAGAATTTTGAAGCTTTAAAAGCATATTATTCAGATAAAAAAAGCAATGGTAGAAAAAAAAAAAAAAGATAAAATAAAATCCATCAAATAGATATATGTACAATGCATGGTGAATTCCCTGTTTCATATCTGGAAACAGACATTGTTGTATTGTACAGACACATCTAATGCTAATTTTTGAAGATTTTAACCAATGATGAAAATAACCATAGAATTGTGATTGGCACAACAATAATGTAATTAAAAGAAAATCAATATCAATTCCCACATATGCTTAGTAAAGCTTAATTCTGGTATTAATGGGGCTCCTGCAGATGGGGCATGACTGAAGATCTTGTCCACATTCACAACATGTCTGCCAGAAAAAATAAAACAAAATATGTCATATAAACTCCCTTAATTTGATGCTTTCTGAACAAATACAAGAACATTTCTATTCACCTGATGCCCACATCCGAAGGCCATGTCTCTGGCATTGCTCAGACAAATGGGACAAAGCTGCAGAACGCCAGTTTAATTTGTCAACTGTGGTACATTACCAATTTACCATAACTCTTGAAAACATAAATCCAGAACAATAACAGTTTCATATTAAGTCATTATGACAAATAAAATGAATGGTAATATAAGGGGAAATAAACAATGAAATTATGTTTAACTTGATTATTAGTATAGATAACATATTTATTCTGTTAGAAAAATCGTACTTGATAATCATAAGTGGAACTTGGGGCAGAAGGAGCTGTGCCAACTGGGTAGCTGTTGCCATGTTGATGAGGGATACTTGACTCAAACCTTGCAGCATGAAAAGGATTTGAAGTGCGTAGAGATGCAAAACTATATGTGGGTGGTGGGAGGGAAACTCTTTGAGGAGCGTTGCCATGCTGATTACTGCTATAGGTTAATAAGCATAAATGATCACAACTTTCCACAGAATATGAATTGACAAAATTATAAACCAGTAACAAAATATATATACCCCAGTAGATTAAGCTCTATTGCTGCCTTGTACTGAGAAGGAATTTCCATCAATGCAGCAAGTGCAAATGCTGCCTCTTTTCGTGAAGGAGGGATGTTCTTTGACATAATCTCCGAGAAATTCACAAACTAATTAAAGAGGAAGAAGGAGATTCATTGGATCAACTTTCACTAGCAAAAGCATTTTATGTAGCAAATATAATGAAGGTTCTTGTCATCACTCACCTGAAAATTATCAAAGGTACGAGCTGGGATATTGTCATCAAATTCCTTCATCATGTCCCATGGTCCATCTCCAACGCCAACCAATATGATTGAAAGAGGAAATTTACTGTAACAAAGCAGGAATATAAGGCACGAGAAGTTTCAAATAATGGAAACGTTGTTAAGAAGGAAAAAAATACATCACAATCACCTAGCTGCAACAATGGCATCCACAGTCTTCTGTTCCTGTGGACTTGGCTTCCCATGTTTAGAGTCAACACTTTTTGTTACCTGTATCAAACATTTGTAGATGAGTTTATTGTTTTCAGTTGCACTTCGTAGTAAAACATTATAGCAACTGCAAGTAGAAGAATGGAAACTGTGACAATATATGAAATTACAACATGAGAAGAGTTCTGCTTTTGCATGTTTACAAACAAGTCATATAACATACCTATTTTCTAAGACTATTTCATTGTCAGCCCATGAAGGTAGCACAGTCAAATTAAGACTTAAGTGCATCAACCCCAATATGGGAGATATTAGAAATAGTTTGAGGCTCAATCCTATAAACTAGCGATTGTCCAAGCCAATAAGTAGGGGTGGATAGATGGACTCGGGTCCGCAGTTCGGTCCGTAAGCTCGTGTATTTCGCAGATAACGGACCCGTTTTTTTCAAATTCGTATAATTATATTTGATTTTTGAGCCCGATCCGTGAAGTCTGCGGACTTCACTAATTAATATTTTTAAATATTACGATTTTAATATTAAGTTGTGTATTTAATTTTTTAAATTATTATGACATTAAAATTATATTTAATTGGTATGTATTTGTCATTTGAATTATTTTTATGACATTTTGATACTTTTATTATTGACAGTTTGATACTATTATTTATTTGTAATTATTTTTATTTAAATATTTTAATATTTAATATTTTAAACCATTTTAACTATTGATAAATTTTAGTATGATAAAATTTAGCTTATAAAAAAAATATTTTTATCTTCTAGTTTTATGTATTTATTTTTTAAAAATTTATTTTTTTGAATCATTATTTAGACCCGCGAACCGGTCCGTTATCCGCGGATTTTGACGGGGCAGATACGGACTTAAATAATAAATCTATTTATTTTACAGACCGGACTTATCCGGCCCGTATAAAACGCGGATTTTACAGACCGGGCCTTAAACAGGCCAGACCAGTCCATATATCCATCCCTACCAATAAGTAATACATTAGTCATACTCTAACCAATGGTACATGATGACACACTCATGTCTAGGATAGTAAATGGATATGAGGAACCCACGAATCAAATTTATCCAAATTAATCTAATGAGATCGGGTAGATTTTATTTAGTGTTCAGATCATATCAATCCAATTTGATCAAAATCTAATAGTATACATGTTTTTTGTTTTTTATTCCATGACCCAACCTAACCTAGTTTTATATAATAATAATAATAATAATAATAATAATAATAAGTTAGTATAATCATTTATTCAGGACAATATTCTTGTCACTCTTATTCAATAATGGATATTATGTTTTTTGGTTGATAATATTATAATAATATAACATATTTATTTTAAATTTTATTTTGTATTAATATTAGTTTTTTAAGCTAATAAGAATGTGGTAAGTTAATAAACTTATTTTAAAATTTAGTTTGTATTATTATTTAATTTATCAGTTCATAACATTACATTTGTAATAAAATATTAAATAATTTACATCTATTATGAAATATTTAAATTTTACAAAAATTAAATAAATTTAATTATATTGATCTAATTGATTCAATTCGATCCAATCTATCCGATTTATGATTAGGTTAAGTTGGATTGAATATAAAAAAATAAAAAATAAAAAAAATACATAAGCCCAACCAAATCTATTAAATTTTAATTGAGAGCTTCATATGAAAGGGATATAGACTAGAATACCTGGCCATCTGCGATTATCACCAAAACATGGTACTGGCCTCCACTCTGCTCAACAATTGTCATGGCCATTTCAATTATTGGCGCAAATGAAGTAGGCCCTGAAATTAAATTAACAACTGTCATTAACTCAATAATGGAACATTTATAACAGGAGTAAATAGATTGTCCTTAGGAGCAAGAAAATTTGTTAAATTAACCTGCAAGTCGAAGATGAGGAACAATTTCCCTATACCGACTCAACACCTCTTCAAATCCATTGCAAAATCTTTCATCCGGATAGAAACTGAATACATCTTGGTCGTGTGTTGTTGCTGCCATGATATCACAATAATTCTTATAAATTTCTCTAAATTTCAAAAGATTTGATTCCATATTGGCATAATGTTAAATTGAATTAATAGATACCATCTCCAAAACCAAAACAGGGGATCAAGTTATCATCATCGAATGCTGCCAAACTTTTCCCAATAATTGATATTGCTTGCTCATAAGGATTCAGAACACTCCCAATGTGATGCAAGCTTCGCCTATTGAACGAGTTTTTTCCTAAAATATCAACACCAAGTTCATCATATTACACTAGAGCACTCTTCATAAATTCCAACTTTAGTAAAGATATAAAAATAAAGCCAAAGTTCCTAACCTGTCCACTCGTTACTCTTGGTGAAATCAACACCAACAATAAGATTAGAAGACTCGAGCCCAGCACGTGCAAGAGCCTCGGTAACCTGTAATCAACCACAAGTATTGTAAATGATTGAAATGTTCAGAAATAAAATAATTACAAAGTGTTGATTCTTTTCCAGTAATACAAAGAAAAGGCAAGAGCACCATCAATGAGAAAGGAACTTGGAAAATTTCAAGACAATATTAAATAACAGCAACCAAAGCCATTCCAAATCACATGAAAATGCACTCAATCATAATAGCTATATGCACATGACATTGTGTAGTTCTAAATTCATTGTAAATAATTGTATATGCAGACCATTTATCTTTCTCTTCAGTGAATTCAATTTAGCATACTTCAATAGGTATATATCAAAGCAATATGAACACACTGCATCTACACTCTGAAATCTAATTCATAATCTATATCTGAGAAAGAAGCAACCACACATCCTTCCGCATTCAATGTAACAAACAAATATAGCTATTACAAAAATAAACTTATAATGAATTTATCTTTCTCCCTCTCTTTTATTTAATAAATTTTTAACACACGAGAGCTTACTCCAGAAATTTTCCCACAAAACTTATACAAAATAGCTTATTTTGATAAGTTTCAACAAGATTTATAAGTCTTTTTTTTCTCAAGTGAGTCCAAATAAGTTCTCTAAACCCTCTCAACCAAAAGCATTTGCATGGTTAAGGTTAATGGTCAATCCATGAAATAAAACCGAGTCTTATGAACTCTTTGTAAATTGGAAAAACCCGCTTAGTGAAGATGGGTGAGAACCAAGGACACATAGTGGTATAAACTATACAATAATTCCTCCAGCCAAACACCCCTTAAGTGCTAAACAAAACAGTAAAAAATTAAGCATGTTACTGTCGCAGTGTTACCTGATCTATGGAATAGTAATGATCAGAATTTCTTGAGTATCTCCTCTCTATCTTTGTACTATCATAACGAACCACTCTATCACCACCATAAGCTTCATAGCCATAAGAAGAATAAGAAGGTTGCGGATCATCAAAACCATAACCAGATAATGGATCCACAAAAGCGCTCCAAGAAGAAGCAGAACAACTTGAATTTGAGCGCAGAGATGAACTCTGCCTCCAACTATCGTCTCTAGAACTTTGACCCCCCATCACCAACGCAAACACTTCTCTGGTAAACCAAATGCACGACGATGAAAATGAAGTAATAAATTAACACAAACCAATTCCAAATGCTATATAAAACGAGACGAGTGTATCGTCTTCTAGGATGCTTTTCCATTTTCCAAGAACCTTCAAAACGGAAGCTTAAGCTTCACACAAAAGAAAACGTCTCATGCTAACTAAATCAACGTAACTAAGATTTGCTTTGATAAGCTTATGGATAACTTACACATAAAGCTAAATTATATTTTTTCACTTTTCATTTTTAAATAAAATATATACATAATTTTAAATTAATTTTTGGATTCAACTATATAAAAACTATTTATATATAAAATTCAATTTACGTTTGAATTTATAAAAAGTATAATATAATGAAAATTATGTGAAAAATATGTTTCATAAACAACTAAAATATAAAATTATAAGTTTTGAATTTTCAATTATATTTTAAACTTTTTTATGTAATTTTTCTTTTTTATTTAAACTTTAATTACGTTTAATAGTTTTCGCATAAATGAATTTAATGAGATAAATTTCAAGTATTGAATTAATTAAAAAAATTAATTCAAAATCATGTTTTAATAAAATTGAAAATAATTATTATTTTTAAAAGATTAAATTGGTCTAAATTTAAGAGATGTCATAATAAATATTTTAAAAGATAAAGGATTAAAATAAATCAGACAAATAACTGAAAATATGATTTAGCCTAAATTAAAAATAAGATTTTATGAAAGATATCAAGAGAGATCCTCTAAGAACTACCCTATGTGATTTTATTTTTAAATTTTATTTCTCATTTAAAGGTTATGAAGCACAACTCCAATACAAAAGCCTAGCACGCCATTGAGACACGATTAATATCCAAAAAGTAAAAACAGGACACAATATTTATAAAACATTGAGTAATATTTTTATAAAAAGAATATTATAAATTTTTTAATATTTATGAATAAGTTGATTTAAAAAAATTTATTTATAATAAGAGTGTTAGATAAGTGGAAGAGAAAGAGTCGATTCAATCTCTTAATTCCTGTTCTAGTCATCAAAAAGTTATTGCTAAAAGTTATTAGAGAGGTGGCAATGATTCATAGCTTAAAAGTGCTTTTGAAAACATTGAAACATTACCTAACCCGGTGGTGAAATCACCGCAGCGCGAAATGACGGTAGTTGCCGCTTGCCAGTGGCTTCGAACACAAGGAATCGAATCTCTTTTGACAAAACGACATGCCGCGAAGAAAAATATAAAAACAAATAGATATAAAATGTGGAATCAGAGAAAACTACCTTGAAAAAGGGAACACCGAAGCGATTCTGAGACTAACGCAGATTCCTGAGGCGCATCAGAGTCAACAAATTAACCAACAAAAGCGAACAAAACGACTCGCGTTTCATACGATGCCAGCTCGTTTCTGAATCTCGAAGATACCTAGACGATGATACGTGATATGATGTTGGAGGGTTCTGGGTTGGTGCGTGAAGTAACACTGGAGAAGAATCTTCAATGGTGTATACGCAAGTGTGCAATAATTGAAAATTCGAATATTTTGAAAACTCGAAAAGGTGCAGGCACGGGAAAAGGAGAGGCTCTTTCTTTCTTGCTTTGTTAAGGCTCTGTTTGTTTGCGGGAGTGTGGGAGAAGAAGCAAGCGCATGCATGCAAGTTTCGCGTTTCGTGTTGAAACTTGAAACTCTAGCACCAACGTTAGATCATGAGTAGTTTTGTCCTCGTCTTCGCGGAAAATGTTTTATTGTTAACGTACACGTAAATGCTTGATACAAGTTTTCATGAATTACAAATATTTGAAGAGAAATTCTATGGTACCCATATTATTTGAAAGGGTTCCGGTACAGTTTTTTTATATTTTATATTTTTAATAATTTATTTAAATATTTATGATATTTTATTCTTTTAATTTTTAAATTATTTAGTCATTTTATTTTTATTTTATATATTCTAATTTATTTATAATAATATTATTATATATTTAAATAGTTTAATTTTAATAATTTTTTAAGCATATTTTAATCTTTTCACTTAAAATTTTTGAATTTCTATATTTTAATTTTAATAATTTTTTAAGTATATTTTTTGTCTTTTTATCCTAAATTTTTGAATTTCTATATTTATAATTTTTATTTCTACAATTTATTAATTTTTTCTTTTTTTTAAATATTTTATAATATTATTGAAATCTTATAATTTTAATCTCTATAATTTTATCTTACTTTTCATTTTATAAATATAATTTAGATTATTCATTTTATAAGTAAATTAGTTTTTTTTTAATTTTTATAAGTTTACATAAAGAATGTATTGAAACCCCTCGATCTTTGAAGGTACCATAGCAACTCCCATATTTGAATAGGGGATTACATTTTTTTTTTTGGGTTACCATCTTATTATATGTGCTTAATTTAGTATTCACGTTTTTTTTTATCACTATCTAATGATCATATAAGGATTAAGGAATGGTAGGAGATGGCATAACAAGTTATTTATCTATTATTCATTTTGATTTAATTTATGTGTAACTAAATTTATTTATTACATAAATAGAATAATGATGTAATAAATTTAATATAAGCATCTGATTTTATGGATGATCATAGTAGTTCATTTATTATTATTTTTATTTATTTGATTACGATTAGAAAAGTATATTAGATTGAAATTTTCAAAAATATTTATTTTTATTTAAAAGATGTCTTTTGAATTTTAAAAAATGATATAAAAATATAATTGTTTGATATTGTTGTTCTACAATACATAGAATGTGTTTGTATTTGGAATTTGGATTCTTTCCTGCAATATTCTCTCTCCAACCTCTCTCCTGCAACATTAATAGTCATTAGATATATCTAATGGCTCAAATTTAATCTTATAATTAATATAACTTTTTAAATGATTAAATTTGAGTCATTAGATATATCCAATGGCTATTAATATTGCAGGAGAGAGGCTGGAGAGAGAATATTGCAGGAGAGGATCCAAATTGATTTTTATATTGGATAAAATGTTCATTAGTTGAAAAAATTATTTTTTAACTTTTAAGAAGTAGTATTATTAAATATAACTATTACTAACACTGTTTAATTTTATGGGTATTTTTTTTTAATAAGATTTTAAATTATGACATTTATAATTACATTTAACGATATAACTACAATAATGACATTGATGAATTAGCTATATATATTTTTTTTTATACTAAACATAGGGGTTGATTAAGTTTATAGATTATAGGATATGATATAGTATCAACAAAAAGAGTGTATAGGATAGGATAGACTCAAATCCTTGGTAGGCTTATGTCTATGTTTGAAAATCGTATGTATTGATGCAAATGAAATCGAAAAATCTCACTTTCCAATGCATAAAAATAGAAAGCAAGTAGTTGTTACTTTGAGTTTAACGTATCATTAGAATTTTTATTTTAATTAAGATGATAAGAAGGATTTTAACACAAATACAACAATTTGGATATCCTGTCCTGCAATATTCTCTCTCCAGCCTCTCTCCTGTAATATTAATAGCCATTAGATATATCTAAAGGCTCAAATTTATAAACATACACTTTTATAAAATAAATAAATAAATAACTTATTAATAGACTCTTAATTTGCATTTAAAAGTAATCATATATTTTTTTATAATTATAACCAAAAATAAGACACTTATTTATTTTTATATATAAGAACGTAGATAATGCTTCAAGAAAAATATCCTACGTACCAAAACTCTTTTTTTTTTCTTTCTTAAACGTGAGAACGGAATTGTATCATGTTGATATGAAAAACTCCTCCTCAAATAATAAGATTACCCATACGTCCAAGGATCTTAAACGGAACACACATATTTTATTTCTTGGCTCTCTATATATGGAGCAGAATTATAATACAAAATTTGAACCATATAATTCTCCTAAATAAAAAAATAGGAAACAAATCCCTAAAAGATATCAAAACAAATAAAAATTCGTAAATCTGAATAATATCCTAAAGATTACAATTTTCTAAAATATCTCCTTAAATATTCACTCACTCAATTTATTTGAAATTTGAATTATTTTCCCAACAAATCCTCCCTTAATTAAAATTTCTAAATAACTTATCTTCTCAAAACTTGTCCTTCCAAGTACTAAAGATTCTTTTCATTCTTTTGTCCTTGCAATATCAAGCGCTTCCCCTTGTACACTTTGCATCCCCATTTTGAACCAACATACCTGTAGTCTTGTGATGTGTAACAGCCCAATTTTCATAGAATGTACGAGGGCCCAAAAGCTCAATGAGGGTAATTTAGTAATTTACAGGGATGTTTTAGTAGCCCAGAACGGGCCGTTCCAAGTTACTAAAATGAAGGTGATTTAGTGGCTCGGAACCGACCTTTTCCCAAAATGGAACGGGCGGTTCCAAACTATTAAATTCGCCTATGTTTCTTAGTTGAGAATGGGCCGTTCTAGTTTCAAAACAGGCTGTTCCAAAATATGACCTTTGTGAGTTTTTAATGCAAACCCAGAACAGGTCGTTCTGGATGTGAATTTTACTCATGATGTAATGGTCCAGAACAGGCCGTTTCGGATTTGGAACGGGTCATTCCAGAGGCACCTGATGCCTATAAATTGAGTGCTCTAGCACTCCCAAAATTATATTTTTCAGTTCTGACTTCTTTCTTCGACATTCTCTTCTTTCCCTTCTACACTCTCTGAAGACCGGGGGCACTTAGAGGAGGAGACCAAGGAGATCTCTGTTTTAGTTTCAACTGTTGTTTATCCAGGTACGGGGGAAAAGGGGATTATTTATATGTAGAGTTACATGAGAGAATTGGGTAGAGGAAGAGTCCCTTAGGATTATGAGTAATTTTATAATTATTTCTGTTTGGAGAATTATCGGTCTTATGTGATTCTGTATGTATTTAGGACTACGAATATATGATTAATCTGTAAAAATGATGCTTTGGAAGTGCTTGTAAGTTAGGTTTTGGAAAAATTGGATTATTATTTCTGTTTGAGAAATTAATGATCTCATTAGATTCTGTATATGTTGAGGATTAGAAATATATATTTAATTTGTAAGAATGATGATCTGGGAGAGAGAACGAAATTGTAGAAAAGTGTCTATGAGTTAGGTTTTGGAACAATTGGGGGTTTTACTGTTTATGTTAAGATTATATTAAATGTGTAATTCCATTGATTATTATATTAATTTATGAATGTTATTGTTGTATTAATTGATAGAAATTGGTGATCTAGATGTGAATTGCTTGAGGGGTGTGTAAACCATTATTTTGTTTGACTTATCTGTTGTGTATATGGAATTGTGGATGTGACATGAAATTGAGCTATGAGATGAGATGTTGTATGGATGTGATTATGATTGTGATTGTGGTTCCTCACACATATGACCAGGGACGAGACAAACCTTGGGTAAGTGATGTTACAAGGACGAGCGTGCCCCTGGCATGGTGTGGGATGAGTGAGGCAATTAACACGCATCAGTTATGTCAAATATGACAGCCCTGATATAGGGTTAATTGCAAGACTTGTGTGGATTGTAATGTGATTGTGGTTCCTCACACATATGACCAGGGACGAGACAAACCTTGGGTAAGTGATGTTACAAGGACGAGCGTGCCCCTGGCATGGTGTGGGATGAGTGAGGCAATTAACCCGTATCACTTGTGTCAGATGTGGCATGGCCTTGCAATAGTGTTAATTGTAAGATTTGTGTGAATTGTGATGGATTGATGTAATTGTGAATTGAGCTGTGAAAATGATGAATGATTGATAAATTATGATATATATAGATGCTTGTAAATATTTCATTATGTAATGAGTTATGAAGAGATTACGTTGTGGTGTGTTTGTATGTGCTTTATATATAAATGTTTTCTTTTCTCACTGTATAATTTGTGGATGTTTTAGGTGAGGAAGATCCGGCTATGAGTGGCATCTAGAATGCCAACAGTTGAATTATGGGTATGCTATGATATTGTGACATCGGGGCAGAGGATTTCTAGGACATGAATTGTATTTGTATATGGAGTTGAACCTTGTCTTTTGAAAACAATTTGTAAACTCTTAAATTTTACCTTTCAAGGTTTATTTCCAATTATTTTGGATATTGAAGAAAGAACAGTTATGAAGTTTTATGTGAACCCTTTTACCAACTTTGAAATCTTATTTTTCTTAATTTAATTACATTATTACGATGTATGTGTTGGGTAGTAAGGGTGTCACATTTTTTGGTATCAAAGCAGTCGATCCAATCGGCCGTGAGTTATGAGTCTACTATGCTTGTTTGGTATATGAATGATGGAATATGTTTTGCTTTATGATGAAGATAATGATGATGATGATGATGTTTTCCTTGTGTTGTTAGTGTTGTGTTTACTTGTATATTGTTTTCTTATAATTTGGCTGAAAGACATGATATAATTTATGATGATGTTATTTATGATGATTGCTTATTTATTATGATACTTCTTGTTTACTTACGTAAAAAGTAGTGGTTGGGTGGTATTGCTCGTGTTGCGAGCATAGGTGCTAGTAGTTGTGGACGAAGCCTTATGTTAACCAACTAGAACTATTAGAACCTTGGATATGGGTGAGATAGTCATTTGACGAGTGTATTAAGAGTTTACGATTGGTAGAGTTTTTGAAAACT